AAAAAAAATTTAGGTAAACCGAATAAACTTTTTTGTTATTGTGTTTCGATTGATCTCCGAAATAAAATACGTCAGAAAACAATTCATTACATAAATGTCTTACAATATTGCTTCAAGATGGCTTATGGCTTAAAGACAATAGACAATTGAGCGCCAAAAAGTGGGCGGTTGAATATAAGTTAAGTAGGTGTTTGTTTCTCAGAGCTGAATTGATTTCTAATATGGTACGCTTTTTTAAGTGTAGCCACACAGGTACCAGGTATTCTTAGTTGAACCAGAATGCGCTCTCCAATGTAACAGACTTTTGTAGTTTAATGTAACGTAATTTTTGCTCGAAGCAGTAACAAAACTTCGCTGCTTCGAATAAAAATTCGTAACACACGTCACGTATTCCGACCGGGGGTTCTTTTTTACACCAATCAACTAACGTTAGAGTGATTTTCCCAGCGGTGATTTTTGCGCGGCGTGGCCGAAAGTTCTAGTATAAGTTGCCAAAATAGATATGTAATATTTTTTGTAGCCAAGTATACCTTAATCTTAATCTTAGCCAAGTATACCTTAATCTTCTTTTTTGTACCCAAGTATACCTTAATTTTGTAGCCAAGTAAACCTGGAGTCACTAAAGAAAAATTCTTACGTCGATGTTATATAGTATATTTATATTTTTGTTAGTCCTGATTTCTAATTTTGGTGACGCGTCCACAAACTGTGTCTCAAACTTGTATTCATGATTGCAATAAATCGAACATTACCAGCATTCTCAGAGAATTTTACTGTTTTTAATTAAATAAATGATTAATTATTACAACAGAAAAGGCGTAAAAATTGAAATCGTTGAAGATAACGAGGTCACTGAAAAAGATTGGCTACTGCTTGATAAACTAAAATGCTTTCCTAGCTGCAATGCAAATATATCAAGCTGTTGCTGTAGCTGTGTGGACGATAAGTTCTAGCAAACGATTGGCGTTGCGTTCGTTGTCTTGTGTAAAGCTTGAATGTTTGTACGATGCGATTCGGTGCCCCTGCGGAAATTGATATGCGGAATATAATACAGACTGAAAAGGATCCTGGAATAATGATTAACCTCGTATTGCCATTAGCTTCGATAACACTGTCGTAGCTGAAGGAAATACGAGGCTAATCAGCAGAGAAGTGGCACAAAAAATGAATGACGCACCAGCAGTTCATCGTTTTAAAGGATTAACAAATTTTTGTTTATGAGTTACAGTTAAAAGATTGCTGTTCTTGCTTACTTTTTGATCTGATTGCTTTATTTAGCGAGATCTTATTAGAATTGTGTTTTAGATGAGCGCTTTTAAATAAACCCTTTGGGGATTATTATTTATATGACACAAATATAAATTGGGACATTTTTATATAACACAAAAATAAACTAAAATGAGTTTATATGAAGTAGTTAGAACATAAATAAATGAGTGAGATTTAGCATAAGTTAAGCAAAAAGTGTGATTTAGCTTTTAACTAAATATATCGGATACTTAATCATAGTTTTAAGAAAAAAGACATATTTTTTATTGATATAAACTGTGACTGACTGTGAATGACTGCAAACTTAAAAAACGCCTAATAAAAATCTAAAGAAATCCCAAAAATTTGTTTGTCAATAGGAAAATGAAGAAACAAGTTAAAAGGAAAATTATGTTTGTTTCGTGTCTATTATTCAAAAGTATTTTCTAACCAACAATGTTTCTTAAAAAAAAAAGTGTATCATTATTATCATATTGTAGCCAAAACACTGTTGTTGCTTACAAATCAAGATAATAATATTTTTATTAGTTATTAATCAGAAAGTTTTGTTTTTTTTTCTCAAAATAATCTTTATGATTTTACACAAAACTACATTGGTAATCCGTCTAATTTCTAGAGCAAAGGCTCCGAATTTGTTTGAAATATAGGCTAGAAATAAAAAAAATTAAAATTAATTTAATTTATACATTTTCTGTGTCGGTAAAAATAAAATCAAACATAATAATGACGCTATATGGCTATTAAATTTTTTTCTGATTAATTTGTACTTTTCTCTCCAACGTCCTAATTTTGGTGACGATATTTAAATTTTGGTAATCAAGCAAAATTCATTTCCATTTATCGTTAAAACTACTTGATGTTTTGCCGGTAAGACATTCTTTTTGGAATTAATTTTTAATATAATAAATATAGTTGAAAATGCCTGGTTAAATGAAGTACCCGTTACCTTAACATTGCGTAACCTAAAGGTTATCAATAATTTCGTGAATATATTTCTATTGCTTACTGCTTCTTTGAAATTTCTTTATTTCAATAAAGTACATACAGTAACGTATAAACAATTTACCATTTAAATTTTACACATTAAATCACAATTTACAGAACACTTTATCAGGCTAAACTGCACCTATCAAAACATTATACATTAAAAAATATATCTCATTACGTCATAATGATTTATGAACTTTAAAAACACTAATATAATATAATAGAGTGTGAATTATTGTAATAGAACACTTATTTCATAGAGGGTAATTTTTTTTCTGTTGCTTACTGAACGAATTCGTAAAATCGGCTTTGTGGGTTTTTTGTTTGCTATTATCTAAATTAAAGGTCATTAATGAAGACTTATGGTCTATCCTATCGCATTAGGTACAACAGGTAATGATAGCTGTAAGTTGGAAATAAACAAATATCTAAATAAAATAAATAAATACATAAATGTTATCCCTACCGTGTAATTAACGAATTTGTTTGTACAAAGTAACAGTAACTAGTTACTTATTGCCAAGATATTACAGTAAACTATAAATATTCTTTTAGTTAACGAACTCGTCCAGACCCTCTAAATATTCTGCTTGGGTCTAGCGGCTACATTCGGAAGTCTGATTGTACCATTCCATCTTCCTGGTAGTACGTATTTATTCACAGCAGGACACCCCGAAATTCCAAATGTTCACGGTCGCCACTTAATAACCGAGGCTCCAATGTAGCGATTATATCAACAAACACAAAGGTATCTTGTTGCGAATAATTGTTCAAAGAAGTTATTTAAACTTGTTAGCAAAAAGTCTTAATTAGGACAATGTTTAATGAAGTGTGCGCGTGATTAACCACGTACAACATAAACTAATGTCAGTAAGAAACCTTTGTGTAGAAACTTAGCAACTTCGAATAGAATGGAATTCACCATCATCATCATCAACCCATTTATACGCCCCACTGCTGGGCACGGGTCTCCTTTTAGACGATGGTTTAGGCCATAGTCCGCCACTCTGGCCCAGTGCGGGTTAGGGACTTCACACGTTTTCCGAGGGTTGTGAACCTTCTTGGACGTGCAGGTTTCATCACGATGTCTTCCTTAATAGTATTTTCAAATTGAATTTACGTAAATTCCGAGAAACTCAGAGGTGCGAGCCCGGAATCGAATCCACGACCCTATACTTGAGAGGCAGTAGGTCAAATCATGAGGCTATCCGGCCTATCAGAAAGGCATTATCTATTACAAATACTGAGAAAGTAATTAAATAAGTACGAGGTACCTAACCACATAAATTAAAATATATTTTTGATAATCTAAAACAAGATACCTAAATATTATTTTATCGACTTAAGAGCAGATATATTTGTGTAAGTTAATTCAAAATGAAAATTCCATATTAGTTAATAAACATTAATAAAAGTGGCCACGTTGAGGCGACAGATCCGATCGAAGGATTTTTTCTTTGTCTTTGTTCGATCTTTGTCTCAATTATTATAATAAACTTGCGGAGTCATAAAAAATAGATGAATATCAGGGTAGTCAAAATATCATGATATTCAATGAAATATTGCAATTAATGTAGACATCTCTGTTGAATATTCTGATAGCTCTAATAAAGGTACCTGGTTGAGTGTAGAAACTATCATAAGTTCTCACAAGGTGGCGCTACGGCAAAAAGCTGTTCAAACCCAGTACAAAGATCCTCCACATCGATCTTAGAGAAATTCGTAAGATTTGCTGGCTCGATCCGTAGCTCAGGTGACAGAGCGGTAGCCACGTGGAAGCAACAAACTGGTTGTAGTCCAGTCGTACGTAAGGAATTTTTCTTCGTGTTTGTTCGATCTTTATATGACAATTAATAAAATAATTTCGCACAATGGACCGATTTTATACTCCAAAATGTGATCTCATTGAGAACAGACATTAATGCCACATACACACAAATGGGTCTCGACATGTGTTCCATCAGAGGATTATCATTAGTGACACATATTAACACCCAATCAAAATAGTCAATGTGATGTAGCACTCGTATCTGCGTTCTATATTAGTATTGATTTTCTGTACTGCCATATAATTACGTTTCAATAGCCGTTAATTACGATTTAATAGGCTTTAATGCAATCAAGGCCAAATCCGAATAAAGAATGAGTAAGCGATTGCCAATACTTTCGTAACAAAACGAATACACATGGATTAACTGCTTCTAAATTGTATATCTACATTGTCTTTGCAATTCATACGGTCGCTAAAGATATACTGGTTAGCAATTAATCTGTGGGGGATCACTCTGTGGTTTGACAGTAATAGGAGTCGTTAGTGTTTCTTGTCATCATCAAGGGAACTTAGTGGTCAATTAATTGGGCATTCTTCTCTAATAACCGAAATGAAGATACTCCGGACAATACCGTGATGCTACTTACGACTGAACGGTATCTACAGCATATTTTCCGAGCATACTTGACTTGTCAAGGTGAAGTATCTTTATAATGAAGAATCATTATTATACACGTTACGTCATTACGTAAGGTTATTGTTTGAACTTGTATAAATTTCATTTAATTGCACGTGTATCCCTAAATATGGATTGGCAATTTCTTGGTTAAATATAATTTGGTTATCATCTTTGTATAATCTTTTGAGAAAGGTTTTCCTTATTTGCTTCCAGTAATCTCGATTCTTATTTGTTTTTATTCTTTTATTTAATTTGAATTTGTTTGTACTAATGCTTCTCTCGTTTTGTTTGCAGAAGCTGCTGATGCCCTTCGATATTTCAAGCTGATTATATGAATGTAAGTCTTATTTTTAAATAATTCAATATTTGTAATAGATGTTAATATGACAGTTAATTTATTGGACGAAATAAATTTTAATTAGCAGACCACTTAAATTTCTATAAAAAATACCTAGGTGCGGTGTACCAATAAATAATTACATACAGTCATTGACCTACCACCTATACCATAGGTTAGTATTTATAAGTTCGATGAAATTATTGTTTTTGATTAGCGGTTTAAAAAAAACGTTTAGCTGATGAGTAATTTTTTCTTAAATACTCAAATACGTCGTTTATATGACATCCAGTTTTTTAGGTTGTTGTACAAGTCTTGTACTGATTGCCTGAAGGCTTGTGTACCGCTCGTGATCAGATTATCAGTTTTTGACTGGTTAGAATTTTGGATTAGTCGTGTAATTTATGGATCAAATTCAAACTAAATGAAGCAAATAGCTATTGAATAAAATTTATAACTATGACTGTAACCCACGCATACGTCTCATAGTCAGCATGGTTATATTGGTTTAACCTCACAGGTGCATAGTAAAATCGTGGTTGGCCACAACCCTTATGTGTAGTTCCGAGTCTTCTTTAGCAGTGTGTTGAATCTGTAACCAATGTGATAAGTTGGAGAGTCCAGTCTTCCATATTGACCTCTATGTTTACCTTGTAACTTGTTAACAATGTTTCAATATGTGTAGTGTTATGATCCACTTCCGAAAACTACTACTAACAGAATTTGTTTGTCATTGTCAGCTAATAACTGCCCATATAAAGTACTCAGGATAGTCAGATTGTATTTCTATGCCTTGAAATACCATTGTCGAAGCTTTTGATGGGTACTAAATTCAACGTAATTGCAAATTCTTCATAGTTCTTGAGAGCTTGAGTTTAATGTTTCAAACAACTTGTGAAATAGACAGAAGCGTACAGGATTTAAATGCCACATTTCTGAAATAATGTTGATGACATGATCTCTCTTGAAAATTGTTGAAAAGTCATAATTGTGAATGAATGTTTCAGTTGAAAAGGAGATTAGGTTAACTAGTGTTTAATGTTGGAAGCGGTACGCTGAGACCAATGCAGGAACTATTTGTACGTTTGGTAATAACAGTATTGTTTTGAATAACGAATTCCTTTCTTACAAGTTTGAATTGGCTCCGGATTTCACAAGGTACCTACGTGAAGAAGGCACGCATCTAGAAATAGTCTTTTTTCTACTTTTTGTTCTTTCTTTTGTTTTTTTAACCCATAGCACCGCACTAGGGAAACCCTGTATCGCGAGTGCCCTGGACGCACAGAGAGAAAACCACAAATTGTTTATTCCCGGCCCGGGAATTAAACCCGGGACCTCTGCGTGGAAGACCAGCATCGTAACCGTTCGACCACTAACATTGTACACGTCTAAGAAAGGATTGAATGTTTCTTAGAATGAAAGTCAGCGCCATAGCTTGTATCTCGAATGGTCCTTGTACTGATGGCAACAAGGTCATTTTGCAAAAAACGTGGAACATGTCTCAAGAACCCTATTATCTTTTTTCATGAAACCAAGTGATGACGGGATGAACAAGTTGGCGCCTGTTGGTAAGCTAACAGTGACACTCAAACCTTTAAATCCAAAGGTCTGAGGGGAACTGCCACTGCGCCCGTTACCCGGAGACACAAGTTGATAAGTCTCATGTGCCTGTAATGTCACCAGCGCCTTATCCTTCAAAACCGGAACGCAGTAATGCTTGTATTACTGCTTGGTGGCAGAAATAAGTAGGGTGGCATTACTTTCCTGGACTAACTCTTTCACAAGGAGTTTTACTGTTACTAAAATATAATATCTTTTTATTATCTGTACTAAGTTAATCAGGGAATTCACGTTATACAAAGTCAGAAAATCCAACGCAACATTCAGTTTGGTCGAAAGCATGAAATTTTCAGGGGATTGAAAATGAAACGTAATTCCGGTCGACTAATTTTAGATACAAGTCTAAAGACAAAAGCAGAATACAGTTAATTCAACGACCTGCTCTCCTCTCAGGCGTGCATTTACGTGTACAACAGGCTCATTAAATGTACCTTTGTAACTCTCACTTTGTGAAATTCAAGAACTTTAGAGGTCCTTTTGTATGAGGTTTTACGTTTTGAAGAATATTCGTCTTAAGGCGTTTTGTTAATTACTTTTTCATTCAAGAATACCTAAGAAATGGTATTAAGAAAATGCTTATATTTAAGTTTCATTTCAGGATAATTTCAAAATAATTATTTAATATCACCAGCAGGAAGATGAAACTGTAAGGCTCAACTCACACTGGCGCAGAGTCGAAGCGTCGCGTCGTTAAGGTACAAATTTGTGTATTGCAAATATGGAATCGAGCGGCTACGTGCGACTTGGTAGCATTCGAGCGGCTTCGTCGCCGCGCGTCACTTGGGCGCCATGAGGTGTTAGACGCCGACCAAACTGTGATCCCGGCGCACTAATGCGTCGTCTGGCGGTGGAGTTGAAAAACTGGACGCGACGCGACGCTTCGACTCTGCGCCAGTGTGAGTTGAGCCTAAGACGAAAAAGATGAATCTGTAAAATACCTTAAAAAATGGTACTAACAGGATGGAATGAATGATATTTTCTGTGATTTACTTGAAATCATCATCATCAACCTATTTGTACGTCCCGCTGCTGGGCACGGGTCTCCGAAGGTGTAGGCCCACCACGCTGCTAGCCCAATGCGGGTTGGGGACTTCACACCTTTTCCAAGGCTTGGATGCTTGTGAAACTTCATCGACGTCCAGGTTTCATCACGATATTTTCCTTCACCGAAAAGCTCATGGTAAATTTTTAGTAAAATTTCGCACATAAATTCCGAGAAACTTTTCTGCGAGGAAAAAGTCAAACTATTAGACGACCATGAAAAGAAGTACCTATTTAGAGGTATACACATAAATCTAAATTGCCATAGCTTGCTAAGCAAGTAATTTGTTTTAGAATGTAGATGATGCACAAAAGATTTTAAAACTTAAAAGAAAGAAAGAAACTTAAAGTACAAAAAAAAAAATACACAAAACGACGTACGTCCCCGTGCGTTTATACGGTAATGTTTGTTTCAAGTAGCAGTAGAGCTCCTTGTAAAAAAGAGTTTGTTCAAGTAAGGAAGTACAGGCACATAGCACAGGCACAGTGACATTGCCCCTCAGATCGGCAAGCTCTGAGCGGCACTGTAATTGTTATTGACAGGTGTGTCACTTACCACCATAAAAAACGTATTTGAAATTTGAGAATCTGGTTGTATTGTATTTGATAATCTATATGTTGTAATAATGTCCTGAAATAATCATTACTATTACTAGAAGAGTATGATAAGTGCACAGGAAAACTGAATATCATTTCATGAATTTTTACCACGCTCTTACAAAGTATAACACAGTTTTCATAGTTTGTCGCTTGTTTTTCCTTTATACTTTTTATTTGCGAACGTCTAAGTCACAATAGTAATCACATAAAGAAATAAAAAATACTACCGCTGGAAGACTTGTAAGGCGTCAGTATCGCGTTACAAATAAACCAGGAATGTCTTTCAACAGTTATTACTCGTACTTGTCACGGCTTCTGAATTCTTTACTCTGACTTATTCTCAGTTCTTTCAAATAGAAATTTGAAAGAACTGAGAATAACTTAGAGCAAAGATGAAATTGACAGCACAACATTTTTCAATTTCATTGTAATGAAAAAGCGAAGGTGACAAAATGTAACTTTAACCTTTGTAACTATTTCCATTGTATTGGAATAAAATAAACTATTTAGCTATTTCAGGTGTAAAATTATCTTAATATATAGTTACTATAATCGCAATAGCTTATGTAAATATGCTACGTCCTATTGACAAAAAATTAAAAGGTCTATACAGACTTTTCAAATTATACCTGCAAGCAAAAATGGATTCCTACGAACATGATTTCAAAAGCAACTTCATTAGTACTTGTTGTACCGAATGAAATATGCTTTTTCTTTTTTTGTTAAAATGAGGGTACCTTAGTTGTGGTTCCATTTAAATTTGAAGAAAATATTCCACCTCTAAGGGTGGCAAACTTGGGGATGCACGACTTTTGAGGTTGGTAATTTTAGTACTCTATACCGAGATTATTGTTTGCACTATATATCGTTAATATTGTTGAAATTTTAGCAATATTTGAAGGCGCTATGCATTGAATTATATGGTTAAGAGCTGCCACGTAATGGAAAAAAGTGTATTAAAAACATCCTCGATCTTTCTGTTGTTAACCAATCATTATCAGCTTACACGCGTCCGTTGCTGGATATAAGTCTCCCCTTGAGCACGCCAACCTCTCCTTGTCCTGTTATTAACAAATCTACCATTTATAATATTATAAAATATATAGTTATGTTTATTGTACTCAATTTATTCTTTCTCTATGCTGCCGTGTTGTGACAACACTTTTTTTCATTTTAAAATTACTGAGAAATAAGACAAGCTCGGTGACTAAACGGTTTATATTTTAGGCACTAGATGAGGAGGTCCCGAGTTTGACTCCCTGTAAGAGCAATTTGGTAAATGAACTTTTCTAAATTGGTTTTGATCTGGGTGTTTTAGGCAGTGACCCGGAGTGATTTCTTTTGTTCTAGTACTCATGGTAACGGGGAATTTCCTACACATAGCACATTATTATCATATCACAGGCAGATCCGCCAGAGTCAGCCCTCTTGCTGGTGTGAATACACCAGCAAGAGGGCTGACTCCGCAGCTGAGCTAGCAGAAAAAATAAGAAGTAATAAGTACCTGGACCTCGGCTCCGACTACCTATTTACAGCTTTTGGAGTCGAAACCCGTGGGTCCTGGTGCCCTTCATCTGTAATAAGTAACACAAGGGCAAGCTACCTTGCCCAAAGCATTAGCATAGCCAGCATCTTGGGTACCTTGCCGCGGAGACCTAATTTTATTAATATAGTAAAATTAGGATTTTTATTAATCCTAATTTTCTAACTAACGTGGCAGGCAGTGACCTAAAACCCTC